AAAATATAAAGGTAGGCCCGATACTTTCCAGACAAAGCTCGTTATATTCCAGTATTTACATAGACTAGAATTACGTTACAGTACATATTACAAAGAGTTGGCTACCTTAGTTTTAACTAAAGGTCAAGATCAATAATTTTTATATAGCAAAAAGTTTGCGGTTGTAACAGTCCAACCTTTATTCTTTATTAATCTATTATACTGTCTATTAGACATTTCACAAAATGTATTTTGGTTTATTTTACATGTGGGGTATGGTTCCGGTAAATAAAAACCTATACACGCTCTTATGTACGGCTTGCACTAGTTATGGATAAATTTTGAATCTTTTTGAATCTTAACATTATAGATGTAGTGAACATTAAGTTTTTCACCAGAGAATTAGGATACTTTTTTAGTCGGTTGGTGTATCTTCTTTGAGCTGTTTCTATTTCATCAATTACAGTCGATAAATTTAATTATTTTCTATTTATTTAGCTTGTAACAAACCATGGTGTATTTAAAATGATTTGTAGCGCTTTGTTTTAAAATCATTCAATGGTTTCTATATTGGCTTTGTGAAGAACCCTATAGTTGAATACGATATACCAAGACTGGATGAATTATGCACTTGTATATTAAGATTTTATAATTGATTGACAGTTGGGATTTTCTACTTATTAACTAGTTATATTTATAAAATTGAAAATTGAGTGATTTGCGTTTACTCCAAATGTATTTTGTTCACGTAATTTGACAATCCAAGTTTATACCAAGGTATTTTGATTTTTCTTTTCGAGGTATTGGTTTGCTATTGATTTGTACTAGGGACAGGTTTAATTTTTAACGTAAACGTTACCTGTATTGATTTGGTATAATTTATCGTGATTCTCCATTTTTTTAACCAGAGTAGTATTTCATCTAAAATATTTTTATGTAATATAAGTAGTAGTGTCATTTCAATGGTATGTCAGTATGGTTATATCGTTTGCGTGTATGTCCATATTTATATTTTGCATATACGAGGTCTGTTCAAAAAGTATCGCGAATTTCGTATGTTTTCAAAAATTATTTATTTATTCATGAATATCTATTTTATCTCCTTCAAAGTAATCCCCCTCGGATATAATGTACTTGTGCCAACGTTTTTTCCAATCCTCGAAGCACTTAAAAAATCATTTTTTGTGATCTTGTTCAGCTTCTCCTTCGATGCCATCTTTATCTCCTCAATCGTGACGTAGCGTTGTCCTTTCATGAGCCTCTTCAGTTTTGGGAACAGGGGAAAGTCACAGGAGACTAAGTCCGGAGAATACGGTACCTGCGGCACGATTACTATGTTGTTTTTGGCCAAATATCCAGGTACAAGCAACGATGTGTGAGTAGGGGCGTTATTATGGTGCAAAAGTCAGTTTTTGTTCTTCCATAAACCCGGACGATTCTGTCGGATTACTTCCTACAAATTGCTCATAACTTGCAGGTAATATTCCTTATTGACCGTACTACACTGTGGCAAGAACTCATGATACACCACATCCCTGTAATCGAAGAAAACTGTGAGCAAAACCTTCACGTTCGACCGAACTTGGCGCGCTTTTTCCGGTCTTGGCTCATGCAGCAGCTTCCATTGGGATGATTAAGCTTTGAATTCCACATCACAATTACAAACCCATGATGCATCACCAGTTATGATTCTCTGGAGTACATTTGAGTCGCCATGGACCAAGTCCAACATCTCCTGAGCAATGTTAACGCGATGCTGTTTTTGGTCGAAAATGAGTGGAAATCGACTAATGCCCAACTCATTGGTTAAAATTAAATGGCATGAGCCAATCGATATGTTTATATCCTCAGAACTTCTTTAACGGTGATTCGACGATTGGCCAATACTATTTGCTTCACTTTGTCAATGTTTTCGTCTGTTGTTGACGTGCTCGGGCGTCCGGCACTTTGTTCATTGTTCACATCTTCTCGGCCATCTGAGAACATTTTTTACCACCAATAAACGTTGCTTTAGTCCAACGTAGCTTCATCATACGCCAAAGTCAACATTCGGAATACGTCCGCGCACTTTATTTTATTTTTCACACAAAATTTGATACAGATTCTTTGATCCATTTTTGAAAATAGGCAAAAATCGAAGATGAGTTAAAACACATCCAAGCAAAACAGCTGTCAAAAATTAAGTAAACATTCAAAATGGCTGACCTGGTCAGCATAAGTAAGGGATATGAGTACCAACATAACGCTATAAAAAAATAAAAAAATCAAATTTACGTAGTCCGCGGAAATTCAAAATTCGCGATACTTTTTGAACAGTCCTCGTATTTAGAAGGTTGTAGGTGTATATTAGGTATAATATGGGACCAAAAATGCTATCTTGAGAAATATCTACGTGATTTCATTGCTTATGTTAACCTTGAATTTTTTACATTTCATGTATAATTTTATCATCACATATAGTCCGTCTGGTAAAACTTTATTTAGTTTACGTAGTAGACTCCTGTGCTAAATCTGATTGGGCTACTCAAGAAATACTACATTACAATATTCATTTCTTTCGAAGGCATTTCGAACTGTGAAGGTGACTTTGTTTATTTGTTCCACTGTAGCCTGATTGTTTCTAAAGCCTAGCTGATGCTCGGACAGTATCTTCTGTTGTATTAATATTTTATTAAGTTTTTCTTGTATTACTCTTTCATATATTTTTCTGATTATCGGTAGCAGGATTATTGATCTATATGACGAAATAAATTTGGTTGAATTATCGGGTTTAGGAATGAATATTATTGTAGCTACTTGTCATAAATTAGGGAAATAGTGTGCACGCATCTTGTAGAATAGGTAAATCAGAAATATATAATACACTTCTCAATCACACACGTATTATCGTTTTCATTATACAGTAGTGAACTAATAGTACTGCGACAAAATGTTGCTTTCTTTTTATTTTTCTTCATAGAACAAAAATTGTCCATAGACTCTTGATACAGGAAACTTTGAAAATTAACGAGTTGTTTAAAATAAAAGCACATAGCCCGATCATAGCATATCTATGTACTTCCACAGCTTACAATTCTCTCTTGAATTCATTCTTATCCCTCGACGATTTCATGACACCTTTTATTCTCTTCCCTTTCGATAGTTAGAAGTTAACTGTGGCAGATAAATGTGCGTGAGTATCTGTGTGAGGTAAGCCGGACATGGCTTCATAGTGTTCATAATTGCTTATCGTTCGTGTTGACATTGTGTCTTATTGGTGATCGTAGGTGGCTTACTGTGCTTCTAAAGTACTTAAGGTTACTGGATAAATGGAGAAAAATTAATTAACTCATCAGCCTATTATGGAGATTCCGGACCTGGTAATAAGTTCAGCTGAACGCTTTTACAAGAATAGTAGTGGTCTTTTTAGTATCCGTTGATAACCCCTTACAGTATTAACAACTTTATGTAGTTAACTTTATAACTATAGGATGAAAATAAATGGATATCGACTGAAAGACAGTTGGCTGATACATCTTTACGAAACTGTTGTTTTCTCGCTATACAAAAATCTTACAAATCAAATATTCAATATTGATAGGAGCCGTTCAATATTGACTGTTCATCAAACAATGTTGTAGACAATCTTGCCTTGCGGTACTGATCACCTATCCAACCGTATACTTTTTTTCAAGATGAGATCACCTATATCGTATGTTACGTTCGGAATTTACAAAATATTTACTTTTTAATCACGAGTATTGCCTCAATTTTCGAGATGTAACTTCACTGATATTGATGGTATCGATTTTTTTATTACTACTATACTGTTAATTTTACAAGATTGTTAAATGTTTCGTGTAGATCGTTACAGTTTTGCTCGCGGTCGTGGAGTGTGCGTGCCCAGTTCTCTCCGCAATTGAAAAAAAGGCTAGCAATGGCCCACCCACTCGTGTGATAACTAATGTTATCGGCCAATGGGCTAATTGCTCGTTCAGCTTCGCGAGTCGTTCCTTATTCTTTTCAGTAACTCTCACAAAAGCCTCAGAGAGTAGAACTGTGTCTCTCCCACTCTCGCGATGTGCTTTTGTCAACAGCGCATATTAGGCGGAAGACTATACGTGTCTTTTATTCGCCGCGGTAAACGGCATCGACATGCACATTTTGCCTAGAGGTCGATCCGTACTCAAGCTGCCGAGAGCAAGGAATCGCGCAGTTAACCGTTTACGTGAGAAAGACTAAAAGTCTCGCAAATGTTTCGGCAACATTTCAGCGTCCGATATTTGGCTTGCTTGGGACGTAACCCATAAGTAGTAATGATGTTTAATGGGTTGATCAAAATGGAAGTATTTACTATTGAGCAAGTTATATTCTTAATGTTGAGTTAAGAGTATATGCATATTATGCTGACGAATGCATATAGCTTTTTTTTTTAATATATTGTGAATTGTAAAGATCACACAGTTTCTTTGTGAAAATGTTCGAATTTGTGTGCGCCTCCAGTACGTAGATGGAGATTTTTATTTAACATGCTAGTACGGAAGGTTTCAAGAACTGTAATATGTTTTTAATAATTTATACTTCTGTTCGTTATACAAAACATCATTTATTAGTTAATCTAATTATATAAATTAGAGCTTACAATTACAAAATTTTTAGTCGTTTTCAAATAGTAATTATGATATTTTTTTAGTCTAGGAAGATGATGAAACCATCTTACTATATTTTAATACTAGAAAATTGTAGAAATTTAAATATTTTTATATATATGAATCTTTTGATTAGGTAAACTTCAAAATATTTAAAGAAGATTATCTACAAAAACATAATACCGTAAGTCTGACACAATATCATTTTTAGGCTCAAAGAATAAAATTAATAAGAATAAACATCGGTTTTTGAAATTCTATAAACTACAAGATGACGTAAATAGTTAAACAATAAGCTTAACCTTTTTTCAAGTAGACTGTATTCACATACTTCCTTTTTCCCTACCATAATAGAGGTATATTTTATATAAAGTAATCAACAATTAACTTTACCTTGGCAGGATATCACTACCTTGTTGCATAAGTGAGCCCATAGTCAGCCACATAGAATTCATTAAAGTGAAGTTATTTTCAAGTTCCTCCGGATTAGGATTGCATGGATGTGGATTGATCCATTCCCCTGGCGCTATTCTGTATATAATTAGACAATCATTATTATCAAAAATTAGATTATTATTAATTTATTTACAAATTTTATCTACTCTAAAGAGAAAGTTGTCAGAGTACTAAATTATCGATTTAATTAAAGATAAAATAATAGAATGCATCGCTTTCAGTTATATCTTATAAGCTTTGTATATAAAATACTTATCGTAAATAAAATTTATGTCATCAATAAAATTTTCAAATTTATGTAATCAATAAAATTTTGTGTTTGGCTTGTGAAAGGTGATATTGTTGTACCTAACTTAAGGAACTTAATATTAAAGTTCATAAATGCTCCAGTTTTAGTAAAAAAGTTAATTCCTAATAAATCTTCTTGTACAGGAGCGAAGTCATCTGAAACTATACAAAATTTGAAGGAATGGAAAATAATTTTATTTCTCTTATTTCAAACGTTTGATGAGTTTGTCTGTTAATGTCTCTCAAAGTGAGCAAATTAGAGATATCAATTTCTTTGTTTTTAGATACAAACTTTCGTTTAATAACACTTTATTTGCATGCAGTTCTAATCATTGATCTAAGAATTGGTAAGTGCATTCATCATAATTATAATTATAAAAATCCTATTCATAATTATAAAAATTTAACAGTAGCAAATCGTCTCTTATTCTATGTAGGTCAACATTTCGCACTACTCTAAATTTATTATTATTACTATCGCTCCGCGCTATTCTAAAAGGAGTGGCTATATTAGATTGTACGATACATAATTTATCAAAGTCTACTTTATATTTAGTATCGTACAATCATCTTGATCCTAAAATTCCATCAAAGGGTATATCATATCTATTATCTACTACATAAAATTCTGTTTTATGACCTTGCAGAGGTAGTTCTACAATGTATTCCACTGCAATGTTTTCAGTTAGGAATCCACATATTTTTATACTCTTATTTAGCTTTCTTAATATCCCTGTAGAAATTGAACTAATTTTTATCATATTGATCGCTGAAGTTGTGTTTATTAAGAATTCAAGATCTGTGTTAACTAGACTACTAGTTTTTCTTACTTCTACATTTTCCATTAACGGTTCTGGTGTACTCAGGCTTTCTATACGGTGAATACTAATATCTACGGGGTTCGGATTTCTTGAGAGTGAATCTGTGGCGGCATTATCTTTGCCTTTCGTATAAATGATCTTATACTTGAATTGACATGACCAAGTCGCCATTTATGGACTCGAGTGTTAAGATCAGCAGTATGAAACCAAACTAAAAGTTAATAATCAGTTATAATCGTAATTGGACGATCATACACGATCGTGATTTAAAAGCCTTAATACTCTGTATTACGGCAAAAGCTTCTTTTTCATATACTCCGTAGTTAGGTTCTGCGCCACGCAGTACTTTAGAATAATAAACAATAAGTTTGTCAGAATCAATTGGGCCCTGAGATAATATATCTGCGATTGTTATTCCTAAAGCATCTGTGCAAATATTATAACTTTGTGATAAATCAGGAAATTGCATAAATAATAAAAAAATAAATAATAAATAATAAATTGCATAAATTGATGGTGCGTTACACAAACTTTCTTTTTATTCGTTGAATGCTCTTTCAGCCTTTTTATTCCATTCGAATTTCACATCTTTCTCTAATGATTAGTTAATGGTATAGTAATTTTTGCAGTCTTTTATAAATCGTATATAGTATCCTGCTAATCCTAGGAATTATCGGATACTTTTAACAGTCATTGGTTTTGGAAACTCTTCAACTGTTTGAACCTTTTTTGGATCTATTTCTAAATCATTTTCACTAATTACATGACCTAAATAAGTCACTTTCCGCATCAAAAATTTACATTTGTAAAAATTATAATTTCAAGTTAGCTTTTCTGAACCTTTCAACTAACAGCTTGAATTTTCGATCATGTTCCTCGATTGTGATAGCATAGATTACTATAGCATCGAAGTAAACGAATAATTCTGATCATTGAAGACCTCTTAACAAATTATCCATTAATCGCTGGAAAGCTGCTGGTTTATCCTTGAAGTCCAAAAGGCATTCTAACAAATTCATAAAGGCCGAATAGTGTACTGTAGGCTGCAGGTGTGTACGAATAGGCATGGTCTGGATGCATTAGAATTTGAAAAAATTTCATGGCTAGATCTAGAACGGTATAAAATATAGCCCTTCTTCTATGATCGAAAATGTCACTAATATCATCGTCGGTATAGGGTAAGAGTCTGGTATAGTTTTTTCATTCAGTTTTCTTATATTCAGAACTGTTCTACCATTTTCATCGTTTACTATCGGTTCAATCCTGACGAGTGCGTTACACTGTGATTTTAATTCTTTTATTATTCTAGCTTACAAGAGTTTTTCTACATGGAATTTTAATTTTCTTTTCATTGCACGTAGGAACTAATATTGCTTGCAATTCATAGGAATTCTACAGTATCAATTTCGTGTATGACTTCATTGGTGCCAAGGAACTCATCACCTGAGAAATAGGAAGCGTCTTTAGCTTCATGAATCAATTTTATAGTGTATTTTCTTCCTTCATTATTCATATAAGACAAATTTAGATAATCTTTTATATTTGGTTTAGATTCTATTTCTTCATCGAATAAGTTAGTAGCACGAAAGTCTATCGGATTCTCAAAGATTTTTACACCAAGTTCCTCCTAAGTTCCATTTTTCAAGATATTAAATATATGTTGAACTGCTAAACTTGAATGTAATTCTTGTATGGTTTCGGCCATTGGTACTAAGTTATGTAACATTTTGTCTATTTCTTCATTTTTCAATTGTCCATCATTTATTATTAATGGCACCATAAAATTTTTAGATTTGAATCTATTATTTTTGAAGTCCACGATAGCATCCGAATCTTATAAAAATAAGGAACCTAAAATGTCTGCATGAGACATCTCAAAACTGTCATCAACCACATGAAAGATTGTGTCTGTTCCAAATAATAATAATGTTATACCTAATGTCTTTTGCATTTTTCTTTCTATACCTTTCAAATTGATAACAAGTGAATCATCTATAATATTATCGGAGGAAATTAAACTTTTCTTTATTATATCACATTCGGATTATGTATCAACTAAAAAGAATTCATGTTAACCTGTAGGTGTATTTTTAATCTTTATTCTTGCACTCTTTTAGTTGGTTCATTCTTTTAAACATTGTACACTATGCAAAATCCAATATAAGAAAAATTTTCGATTTCCTTAAAATTTATTGTACAGTTACGCATAAAGAACTTTCTTTGATTGAAATCAATAATGGCTTTGTTCGATAAAAAGTATCCAGCTCGAAGTACTATATCACGAGGAATTGGAAAATCTGTAGCAACAATTAAAATTCGGCTGGTCAATTACGGTTCATGTTATAGCACTAATCGTTAAAAAGCTTTCTATGCTTATCTCTTTTAATGTATGAGAAGACCTCTGGCCATTTCCCTAGTCCTGATTATCTAACTTTTTTTTTATAGCAATTGGCCATAATATGACCACGTTTTTTGCAAAAATGATCTTCTATATTAGATCTATCATTCATACTGAATGATCGCTGGTTGCTCTTATAAGTCTGAATTTTCGTTCTACAATCCTTTGGCAGAGTGATCTGATCGGTTGCATAACTGACAGGTAATTTCATTTATATTATTCACTTGAACTCTAGCCATGCCGTCTTTTGCCGAATGGCTAGTTCGATTATATATCTGATATTTTAAAAGAATTCTACAATCGCGGGCATTGTGGCCTTTTCGGTCACAAATCTAACAAGTGATATTATTCTGTCTTAACTTAATAAAACATTTCTGTTCTTCATCGCCGGGGTTTTTTACAAAATTTGCATGTTTTATGTTTGCTAATGAATACTGTAACAGGCTGCCGTTTAGTCTATAATCATGCAAACGTACCTTTAATTGCGACTAAACGACGCCTTGCTATCTATGTGCTCAAAGCACAGTAACTTACCTTGCCTCGGAGTGCGCCTGCGCAGAGTCTCTTCGCTGTTCCGAGTTGGGTTCCCCCAACTCACCGCTTGGCGGCGCTGTCGCCCCTTGCTAGTAGCGCTCGTGCGGCCGCCGCTGGAACCTAAGCCGTCGACTCGCGTCTATCGATAATCGCACGATTCGTGCTACGCAAACGGCGAATTCGAATCCACTGAAAATAAACACTGGCGCGACCTCCGGACAAAGGAAAGACCGAATAACAACTATCTAACTCGAAAATAATGATAAAGATGCACTTTATTGAGGTAACTAATTTACACGGGGAATTGGCCGAGAGACTTACGCACGCACGCGTGAATGACAACACACGCTGAAAATGAGAGAGAGAGAAAACCACGAATGCCGCGAACTAACCGCCCGCACGCAACAACTAATCTTCCTCGCGCACGCTGCGCGGGATCGCACGCAAATTACAATAACAAAAATGGGGAAAAGGTGCACCTACCGCAAGAACGATGAGGATACGGTGGCCAACCGTATCCGATCAACCCGCTGCTAATAAGCTGCTCCGCTGCTTGCTGCACCGCCTCAATTACTATTGCTGCTGTTGTTGTTGCTGCTGTCGCTAATGCTGCTGTTGCTGCTAGGGCTGCCGCCGATATTGCTGCTGCTATCGCTGCTGCTGCCGCTATTGCTGCTGCTAACGCACCCGCATTCACGTTCGCAATGTCACCAGGAAAACACAAAACTAGAACGGCTCGGGAAAACGGAGGTTAGATCGGCACGAACTGACTGAGTGGCACAGTCATACTGCCGGTCGGAGCCTCCCCTCCCGGTCATTGCCCCTTACGCTCTCTCTCTCTCTCTCACGGACCGAACGCGGCTCCTCTCGCTTAGCCGCTCGCTAACCTCGCGCGAGTCTACGATTTTCGGTAATCGTTGCAATACATTACAATTCAGAGCTTCGTAATCATTTTTCTCGTAAATTTGACATATATTGAAATTTTGTTTTTTATAACTAGATTGATTTGTTTTATTACCGTAGCGTAAACTTTT